GGGTTGGAACCTGATGATCTTTAAGGTCCCTTCCAACCTTAACTGTTCTATGATTCTATTATTATGTCACAAGGCTAGGAGGGATGGGAGACAAACTGAGGACATCAGAGGCACAGTCTGAAAGAGCAGACTGTTGGAAGAATAAGCTGTCTGGATCGAGGGAACAGAGCAGAGAGAGTGATAGCTATTGTGGTTATCAGAATCTGTAAGAGAGCTTGGCTAGCAGAAGTCAGTCCTACCTATTGCTTTAGTCATTTGGATAGAACAAGACTGTGCTGAAGACCTTAAGTATTGTAAATTTCCAGGTGATGCAGGCCTGGTGTCATGATTTTATGTCATGGTCTGAAGACCTTAAGTATTGTAAATTTCCAGGTAGTGCAGGCCTGGTGTCATGAATGTCATGACATGACATGGCATTTCTTCAATTTGGTGGTTTGGTTTTTTTCCTCTTCCATCTAGAGGGACTTTTTACTAGGGGTTGTAGTGAGAGGGTGAGGGGTAATGGATTAAAACTGGGAGAAGGGTGATTTCAGGTGAGACATTAAGAGGAAAATCTTCACTATGATACTGGCCCAGGTTGCCCAGAGAAGCTGTGGCTGCCCCATCCCTGGCAGTGTTGAAGGGCAGGTTGGATGGGGCTTGGAGAAACCTGGTCTGGTGGGAGGTGTCCCTGCCCATGCAGGGGGTTGATCTAGATGATCTTTAAGGTCCCTTCCAACCCAAACCATTCTGTGATTCTCTGAACTTTTAGATATATTTTATTATTATTTTATTTTTTTAAGCTTTCTCTGCTGAAAGAATAGCCAAGTGCTAAAATGAAGTATTTGGAAGTTAGAAAATGTCAGCACAGAAGGCAGTGGGCTTCTTCAGGTGACATGGACCTCTACAGTCTTGTCATACCTGCCCCTGGTTCTCCCCCATATGACCCTACTTAGCGTGCATGGCATCCATCTCATAGCATTGCAGTTCTGACAAAATTACTAGTTTCTAACAGGCCTTTCTTTCTTAGCATTTGCATACTATTAAATGGAAATTAATTCCCTACTTCTTGTGGAAGGTAATTAAGGCTATAGTTCTTTATGCATGAAAAAACCTTGGTGACTAATGATCACAAGTACCTCTTGTGCTCTGTAAGAGGTAGGTAAGGATGTCTTGGAATCCTTTGCTTTTTCTGGCATTTTGTGTGGGAAGTAGCATTCTCACATAGTGGTTATGTCTGTGTTCAGCTGGTCACATGTGGCATGGCTGGGATCACCTCTGCTGATGGTCATGGTGCAGTCTGGGGACAGATTTTGGTCATTGTATGTGCTGGAGGATCACCCAGCATCATCATGTGCCTGTTTATCCCACACGGGTGCTATTAATACTTGCCAGAGTCCTGAGCTGGATGAATATTTGGGCTGGTCCAGTACATCAATTTTTATTGTAAAAGTGGACAGTGTTTCTTCAGTCAAGCAAATTAAAAGTGAGGAGCATGCACAAGTGGGTTTATTTCCTCCCAACATTAGCAGCTTTAATGTTAATCACTTATTTTGAGATAGTTATTAAAGCCCTCATTGACTTTTCAGTGATAGAATAAATCATGTGACTGATGACTCTGTGAGGTGAGTGGGATGCTGGCCAGCAACCACCATGGTTGTGGAGCACATCTCAGCCATCAGTTTAGACTAGATACTTGACTTTGAAGAAGCTAAGGCTTAGTCATCAAGAACCTAAATTGCCTCTTTATTTTGATACTTGAAGTCGAGCAACATGCCCACGTTGTGCAAGAGCTCCGTAACAGGTACAGAAATAGCATCTTCTGCATAATTGAGGATGATGATTAATTGCTAGAACCCTGACACACTTCTCTTCCCTTTTGGAAGTTCCCAGTGTCTTTCATAAAACCCTTCTTACGCTTTCATACTTCTTGCAACAAAGGAAGACCATAAAGATCTACAGAAACCCATCTGTTTGTCATACAGCAACGGTGAAGGCTGAAGAGGGGAAGGTGTTGTGTAACTCAAAGTAAAGACTGTTTTATATTGCATGTGCCTAAGGCGACCTGAATCAAAGAGACAAGGGAACTTGGTTGTAGTATTTGCCACTGTTTTAGTGGCTTATTTATTTTCAAGAATTCAAGAATACATCTAAGTGTATATATCTTGTGATAAACACACCTGAGCTTTGTATGTTCACAAACGTGGTACTTGATGCAGACTGGTAAATGATGTTACATTTTTATTCCTTTCCCTCACTTTTCCCCACTCGTGCACAGTTTGAAATTGTAGAATCATAGAATCATTTTGGGAAGGCAACAGCTCTATTTGGAGAATCACGTTTGGGGAGAAAACAGCTCTATTTGGAATATCTGTGGGATCTTGTGAAGATCCACAGGCCTGCTCCATAGCTACCCTCTGCTTTGCCACTCCTCCTAACCTGAGATTGGGACAGTAGCTTTTTTTTCCTCCACTCTGAGTTGAACAGGCCATGAATATGCAGATTATATATACAGCATAAATCCTTACCTGTATGTCTCTAGATACTGATGAAATTGCCTAACAATGCTATGCTATAGCACCTTTTTTTTCCCCCTGTGTTTAGAGAAATGAGCACTGCACTCTTATCTTGAGGATCAGGGAGGACTTCCAAAATGAAACTTCATCTCTGGATTATAGACAATATCTCTCTAAAAAAGAACCTCAGTGAGTTTCAAGGGAAGATTTGATCCAAGAAACACAGCATGCTCTAAGACAGCAAATGATTTCTAGATAGCTTGAGTCTTCTGTGGGATTAAAACTTGTTAGCATATATAGCAGCTCAGTTGATCACTTGAACTGCAATTAAAAAGTAGAACAAGTACACTCAGAATATTGTTTTTGTGTCACAAATGCTCCTTCATGCTCGAAAATGATAAAAAATGGCAATCGATCCTTACAACTGTTGTGTTCATCTTTATTGATCAGGCTAAAGAAAGATAAATCGCAGCCCAAATAAGATTATAGTAAATGTTAGCATGGTAGGGGACTGTAGGATGATAGAGAGCTATTCATCATCTCCCATGGTGACCTGTCCACACTCACTCCAGAGTCAGTCTGCTGTCTAATCGCATCCCTATTGATTTCATCTCCGTCCGAGGAACCTGGATGTGACTGTCATTGGGCAGCTGAGATTGCTGAATGCAACGGGGGTCACTGGTGTGAGGAGGATTTCATTTTCATTTTCTTACTGGCCAACGATGATTTATGAAAAAGCAAATGACCCCGAGTCACATGCCTGGAAACCTTGATTCCAGTACAAATGAATTATTAGGTCTGAATCTCAGCAGGACTGCAGCAGCCCCCTGTGCTCTCTGTGATCTGTGCACGACCTTTGGCTGCTGTTGTTGTTACACAATTTGTTATAATTTGTGGTAAAATATGAGGCTTGCAATACAATCCTACCCATGTATGGAGTTGGTGGTATTTTTTTGGTGAATTTTCTGCATTTCAAGATGATCATTTACAAAGAACCTTGGAAAATGAGGTCTTCGAATTGGAATAAATAATGTTGTCTCCTCTAATTTTTTAATATTTTCCTGCATCTTTTGGTGTTTCCATCAGTGGTTTTGCTGTTGTGGGCTGTTTTCCCTGCATTCCTCATAATTTGGCAGGGCTAAATGTTGCTCAGGACATGTTTACTAACCCAGGGATCAAGGAAACTGTGTCATCTTTGCCTTTTGCAAAAGAGTGATCTCTCCAGTTGCAGAGGGGTTTAATTTCTCTCTTTTTTTTTTCCCTAATGGTGTTTTAGACATATTGATTTTTCATACATCAATGTCTGAAATTAAAAAAAAATACAAACCACAAAAAAACCAACTGCTTACTTCAGCCAAAATAAAACTGGAATGACACTTTCCATGGGCTGAGTTGTGCCCTTCATGGGTGTTAAATGTTTTAAAGCTGCAAAATCAATGTTGTGAATGTCCTGAAACCAGGATATTCATAGGTAGGTTGTTAAAAATAAGGATTGAAGGTGGTTCTCCTGTCATCGTGCAGTGTGTGGCTGCCAGAGTTTTGTTGCCATCTTAACGTGACTCCCTGGGATGCCAGATGACTCAGGAGCTGCCAAGCTATGGAAGAGTTGCTGCAAGGGCCAGCAAAACCTTTCTGCCTCTCCCTGACCTGTTTGTCCCACAACTCAGAGAAAAATGGCTTTAGAGAACTCGTGAACTGCTTTAACTTTTCTTTATTCCTCCAACTGTGAAGCCAGGTGCCTTAGTTATTACATCTTAAGTCCAACTGTGCTAAGACTATAAAAACCTCTTTAAAAATACCAAGTATATATTATCTAGACATGAAGCATCACAACATTACAGTGATTTGTCTTTGAATATCCTACATCCCACTGAGAAACTTTGCCATTTTCAAGCAGACAAAAGTTCTATTGCCCCAAGTTGCCTGATTTGAAAAAAATTAAAATTAGCAACTGATTGAAGCAACCTGGAAGTTTGGAGAATTAAAATAACTCACTGCAAGGGCCTTATCAAGGGAAGGAGCAAGAGATGCTCAAGCCATAGTTAATTTATTGTGCAACTTGGAAGTTTGACTGAATAATCACCTGCAAACTAGAGGGGGGTCTATGTGTGAGTAACACAAACAGGGATGTGCAAAAAAGTAAGTATTCAGTATTTTGATTATTTTTTTTTTCCTGACGTAGATACTTCAAAGGCTCCAGCAGCACCTACTGCTAAAGATGTGATTCTTATCCCACATCTCCTCAAGTTCTCCTTCTTGAGAGCCATCTTTTTTACATAACCTTCCAGAACCAAGAGGATATACTTATTTAAGAAAAAGATATTTAAAAAAAGAAGAGCAATCCCTGAAATTTTGCAGAATACTTGCTTTGAGGGTTAGTTTTTGGGTGTTCCTGAGCAACTTAAATGGATAAAATAGCTACATTAACATTGTTTACTAGATTATTAGTATGCCTATAAATTATATTGTATGAAATCTCTATTATTTTTTCTTTCAATTACCCAGAGTGCCCAGTTCTACAAAGTTACCACGGAGCAATACCAAAAAGCTGCTGATGAAGTGTCATCTCGGTTCAAGTAAGTCCTTCCTCCTGTCCTTTTTGAGCCTGGCAGTAGCTGAGCTCTTATCCACATTAAAATGCACAATAATTCTCCCATCCCCATAGATTTTATCAGTCTGTGCTGGTTATTGACATGAGAGAATTTTGAAGAATTTGGAAGCCACTGCACAGTAACTATTAAGCTTCATGGAAATGGGCTGTGTACGTTAGTCATGTGCTAATTAATATCTTAGATTTGATAAGATGCATGAAATATTTTAAGAATATATTCCTTCACACTTTTTCTCTAAAGGAGCACCAAAATTATAGTTCCAGCTTTGCATTACAATAGTATTCATCCTGTGTATGCATGATGTGAAAGGATTTAAATTAGCAACTTCACTTTGGCCTTAACAATGAAGGTCGAATTAAATAATTTTTATTAGTCCTGAGGATGGTTGAATGAAGATACAATAATTGATGGATCAAAGTGACTCTGACCCTTAGCCTTGGATTCTTCCCTTTCTGCTGGTTCATCCATTAGGCAGAATGTTCCATTTATCATTTTTGTAAAGATACAGAGAAGTTTTTACAACCTTTTAGTCTCAGCAGTAACTGAGAAATGCTGGATAAAATGAATTATTCTGTGACAGTTTTTAGGTTTCTGGAGGGATTTTCTTTTGGATTTGGTTTTGTTTTTTGAGGAGAAAAAAGAGAAAAGGTGTTTTTGCAGTGCTGATCATGATATAAATAAAGTTCTTAACTGTAAGATAAAAATAGTTTTGTATCTTAATATAATGAATTGTTAAATATTCTGTAGTATAAATATGAAGTCTTTGTGCTGGTCAGTGGTGCAGAGTTTACTGAGGACTGACTTAATCTGTCCTTAAACAAGAGAGACAAAGTGACCATTGACTGGAGGAGTGATGTAAGCATCATTTGGAGGGTTCCCCATGTTGTATGGGAAGTCTGATATGTTGTTGTTCACTGTCATGTTTTTCATCTGTGATAAGATTCTCACCAAGGGGCTAACTCTCCTTCCTTTGTTGCAGTGTGGGGTATTTTCAGGTTTTGAAATGTAGTTATTGCCTAATTAACTTTCACTATTCCAAGCCAAGCTTTGTTCTGATTGGAAGTAATAGTCAATGGCTCTGGGTGGTTGTTGTGTTCAGAGGTGGGAAATGGCTTTGGGTTTGATGTTCTCCCTCTAATATACAAATGATTTCCTAAGTAAATCAAATGCTTTGGGGTTCCTTTTTGCACAAATGGAACTGGTAGATACAGCAGAGGCCAATCCTTATCTTCTAAGAATTTTAAGGAAACCATTTTGAAGGATGTTTTAATCTACCTGCAGAAAACAAAGATGTTTAGAGGGGGAATCAGAGATTCCTAACACTTGATGAGAATGGTCATTTCTTGTTTTTCTAGAGACTAAAGTTATCAATAGAAATTGCCTATTTGACTGGTCTTTCAGTCAAACTGGTGTGCTGTTTTGCACTTCAAATTTCCACCAGAATTATTTGGAGCTTTTTGATTTTGGACTAGATGATCTTTCGAGGTCCCTTCCAACCCCTAGGATTCTATGATTAGTGGATCCAGTTTTGGTTCCATTACCTTAAAAACCAAAAAGAGAACCTTAGGAAAAGAAAAAAGTACCTGAAGTATGTGCATAAATTGCAGTAGGTTTGATAAAGTGCATGAAATATCAATATTACTTGATAATTTCATTTTTTTTCCTTATATAAGATCCTTTTAAATGCTGTGGTTTTTTAGGCAAGGTTTAAACTCAGTAGGTTTAAACTCATTGCCTTTGTATGTAAATTGACTGATAAATTATGAATGATGTAGTGAAAGCTAAAGATGATGCTCTTTTGGTGTCATCAGGCACTTCTCATGTTCACTTTAATTGCATGTGAGGATTGAGAACAGAGTTTCAAGCAGTGGTGTTTAAAGAGCTTGTTTAATTGGCTGTAAAAGAAGAATTAAATAAGGTTGAACTGCTAAATTTTGCTAATGCATAAACCAATGTGCTGCATGTCAGTGTGATCTCAGGTTCTAAGTGTGAGATTAATAGATCTAATTGTGGTATTATTACAAAATAGTCTCCCTTTATTTTAAGCATGTCTAGAATTAGTTAAGTTTTATTGAGATAACTTGCATTTTTTCAACTCTTGGAGCTACATCTCTTTCAAGAGCTAAGAGGAGGAGATAATTGCTTAAATATTTCCTGGATTTTCCTTTTCCTTCCTCCATTTAGACCCTGAAATTACATCAGCTGTGGCTTCATCAGTCTTTAGGGATAATTCACCCCATTAAAAAGGAAAAACCAAATATCCTGTCAAGACTTGAATCAGAGAACTGGCAGGTCTTCTGTACTTTGTCTGCAGTCTTTATTGATGCCTGCTTATTACCTTCTCCAGCCCTGCCTGGGTCAGACTGATATCCCAAACGTTCACAATAAATGTTTTATCTCTGCAAGGTCCTGATTCACATTGATCAAATTCTGAATTATCAAATGGTTCATCTCTTTAAGACACTAATTCCCATTGATCAAATCCTAAATGACCAGGTTCAGTCAGTTCCTGCAGTACACAAATTGCATTAAAGCAACATTACTAGAGCATGCTGCCTTTTCTAATGTAGGAGTTATGTTACCCACAGTTACATTATAACCAGAATTATTATATTATGAAGATGTCTCTGTTATAATGAGAAGTTTACACAAGAATAAAAGAATGCAATGTTACAGGAAGAGCCAGGCTTTGGGCAAAGAGTTGAACTTTAATCAAATTGTACATTTGTATTGTGGGTATTTCTCCTTAATTTGAAGGGCTGGTAACTGGAGATTTGGCAGCTGCAGTGGTGAAATTTTATTCCCCCGTGGTATCAAGAGCCAAGTAACATCTTGATTATTCATTTAGGAATAGAGTAAGCAGATAGGGCAAATTCAGTCTAAAATAAATGTTTTTACTTTATCTTCTGTGGGTTTTGATTCCACGTGGTAGATAAATTCATAGCTGGGCACTAGTGCTTTTTCTGAAATACTTTGCCATTCCTCTTCTGCTTCACTGCTCTCTTGTAGACAACATGGAGTTGCTTCTTGTTGCTGGTTTCTTGGCAAAAACATAGTCCCCAGCCAAACTGTTAGGAAATCCAGGTCCTCTTTGGCTATCAAGCAGAATCACAGAACAATAGGGATTGGAAGGGACCTCTGAAAATCATCTAGTCCAACCCCCCTGCTAGAACAGGATCCCCTAGAGCACATCACACAGGGATGGAGACTCCACAACCTCTCTGGGCAGCCTGTTCCAGTGCTCTGTCACCCTCACAGTACAGGAGTTTTTCTTTCTTTAGCTTGAACCTCCTGTATTCCAGTTTGTGACCTTTGCCCCTTGTCCTGTCACTGGACACCACTGAAAAAAGTCTGGTCCCATCTTCCTGACACCCCCTTTTGTTTATTTTTAAGTGTTGATGAGATCCCTTCTCAGTCTCCTCCAGCTGAACATCCCCAGCTCTCTCAGCTGTTTCTGACAGGACAAGTGCTCCATTCCCCCAGTCATCTTTGTGGCCCTATCCTAGACCCTTTCCAGTAGTTCCTTGCCCTTCATGAACTGGGGAGCCCAGAATTGGATGCAGTATTCTAGATGTGGCCTCATCAGGGCAGAACAGAGGGGAAAGATGACCTCCTTTGACCTGCTGGCCACACTCTTCTTGATGCACCCCAGGATGCCATTGGCCTTCTTGGCCACCAGGGCACATTGTTGGCTCATGGTCAGCATGTTGTCCACCAGGAACCTGAGGTCCTTTTCCCTGGAGCTGCTCTCCAGCAGGCCAGCCCCCAATCTCCCCACCCAACTCTCCAGCCTGTCCAGGCCATGCTGGATGGCAGCACAGCCCTCTGGTGTGTCAGACACCCCTCACAGTTTTGTGTCATTATCAAACTTGCTGAGGTGACACTGTCCCTTTGTCCAGGTCATTGATGTAGGTATTGACTAGGGCTGGACCCAGTGTCCACCCCACCTGTTCCCTTTGGTTTCTGCTGCCCAGGTGATGTTTGTACAAAGCAAAGCAAGGGTGAGGTTTTCCCTGATACGTGTGTCACTTTAGTATCACTGCCAAAATCCTGTGTCTGCAACAAAGCCAAATTCTGGATCTTGGGCATCGCTGTGTTTGGGTTTTGATAGACTCATGGATGAAATTATCCAGCACTGACAGTTTTAATCCCTGACGTTTCTTTGCATCGTCTGGATCTTGGATGTTTATTCTGAATTAGATTTTGATGGCTTTACTGCCTTACTGTGAGACTTTTGATCATGAACCTTGCCATCAGGAGGAATGCCCCTCAGGAGCTGGAGGAGCTCGTTTGATTAAACACAGAGAGGTTTGGGATTTGCCCAGGCTGCTTTGAACGGTATGATCTTCACGCATTTAAAACATTCTAAAACCAGTTTTTAAAACAGTGTTACAAACCAAATCAATACATTTCACACGATCCTTGATCATTTCCAGTGCTCTGATCACTGATGGAAGTGAGGGCTCCGTGATAGCCCTGCAACAGGCTATTATAGCCTTGAAAATATGTTCAGCAGAGGGTTTCATTCAGGATAGAGTGAATGGGAATAAATGGCAAAACATCAATATTATCTCTTCCTTTAATGGGTGGCTGCTATATAATGAAGCCTGGTTTATAGTGTTTACTGAAAATAAAATCTAAGGCAGTTGTGTTTGGTTTACTGTAAATACATAGAAACATGAAGAGCACTTGCTTTGCATTTAGCCAATACTCTTTTTAACTGGGAAGTAAAGCTGAGAAGGTTGGTGATGAGGCCATGTTAAATGAATAACACTGACACTTTGATTGTCAAATATAATTTGCCCACAAAGCCGTGATGCAAGTTTTCTGGATGTTGATTTAAAAAATCAAACCACAGCAACAAAAACAACCAACCAAAAAACCAAGGAAACAAAAATAACCCAAACAACAAACCAAACCCAAACAAACTAAAAAACCCCAACAAACAGCATAGAAAGAAAATT